TTGACAGGTTTAGACCAACAAATTATAAATGTTAATTTTATCGAGCGCGAAAAAATTTTTCATAAAAGGGCTAAAGTCACCCGCGGGGTGCAAAGTCACCCGTGTTTACGGTATTTGATATGATTAATTTTTTTTTATAAAATGTGCTGTCTTGTCATTTTACTTTTAAGGGATATTATCTATGTAAACACCTTAAAAGAAGGTTACTAATGCCAAAGATAAATATTTTTTTCACCCATCCGTTTTTTCTGTATTGTTAATAATAATTATTGCAATTATTGCCTATTTTTAGATACCTAGTTGTCAATTGTGCGTAAAAATTTGAAGTTTATAAATTTATTTCTCGCAACGTTGCCAAAGCTTGTATCGAGTCGTTCTCAAGAAGAAGAATACATCAAAATAATTGCATATTTACCAGAATTTTTGATAAATTAAGTTTTATTTATTATATATAAACTTATATATAAAATTATTTTAACTTTCTCCCTCAGACCTACGAAGTTGAAACTTGACGGACCGATAAAATGTCATAATTTTCGAATTATAATTTGTAATAGAGAACGATTTAATATAGGTAGATTATAATCACAGAGAAGATCCCAGAAAACCATTAATACAATTATATATACAGTGCTTGCAAATCCAAGTCCGACCGGTTTGAGAAGGACGCGTGAAAATAACAAGGATAGAACGCCAAACAGAAGGCGCTTACAATACGCACGCCTGACGCTCTGACCAATCAAATTCTGTTTGGCATTCTATCCTTATTCTTTTCACGCGGGTATTGAACAACCATCCTTTCCAACGCGGTCGGACTTGAATTTGCAAGCACTGTATATTAGTATTAATAATTAAATAAAATATATATAGGACTCACAGACCTGTTGGTCTGTGATAGGACTATATTATAGTCTCCTGGACTCCCTACTCATAATATGGTGTATTTTGCACTATTAATAAAAAAAAATTTACACCACATACCTACTTAAATTACAGAAAACACTTGCGGCTTTGGTATAATGAAAGGCAATAGGGGCATTAAACTAATTAAATAAAATAAAAAAGGGTCTTGAATACGTGATTTCATATATCGCATACGCGATACCTACGCCAGCTATTAAAAGATGATTTCAATTTGAAAATTTGAAATTTTCAAACAAAGCTGAATGGCCTTTCTTGTTTATTTTTTCAAGACTAGTAAAACACAAAATAAAAAAAAATATATGTATATTTCTAGGTAGCCTGTATTTTTTAAGTTTACTTTAAAAAATAGTTGCGCCAGCCACGAATCATTGCGGCGCACGAATTATTGCTACTTCAGCAACATGTATATGTTTAGCTCGTATTCAGGTAAGTTGAGCCCCACGATTCACTACAACTACACAAAAAAATAAGCATTCTGGAGCATAACGGCACCGTGCTTCTATGGATTGCTGATTTGAAATACCTACTTATGTTTAATTTGGATAATTTTCCAGCGAAAATATTTACGACGATATGCGACATTCTTAAAATATTTTGTTATTCGATACCTACTTTTTATGACACAGATTCTCGTGAGCCATGGCTTGCAAGTGCATAATTAAATTAACTATTTCAGAATGGATCTAATAAATATAATTAAAAATATAAATAATTAATTATAATACAAATATAACCCTAAAGAAGGCGCTGAAATGGCTAAATGGAGTTAAATAATGGGTGTATTCATGTTTTTCTCTGCGGAGATTAGGAACTTTTACTAGAGCTTGTACTAGTACCTATTTTTTCATAAGGGCATCTAATTTTTCCGAAAAAAATCGAAAAAACACGTAGCTAAGTAATATTTTAACAAAAAGCATGAGTGCTGGTGGCAACAAAAATCCGAGTCGAAGAGGAGGATTTTTGCACCTGTGTGTTTTTTCGATTTTTTTTTACAGGAAAAATGAAATGCCCGAATGGTATTTGACAAGACTATTTTATGAGTAACACTTAACAATTAAAATATAAATTGCAATTTTTGGTGACAACAGCTGTCAAGTTTTGCCGCGGGTAAACTCGAAAAAACTGCTGACTATTTGTAATTCAAAATTGCACGTTTTTGATTGGTCGAAATTAAGACGAGGGAAATAGTCTTATAAATAATTTGTTGAAAAAAATATATTTTATCTTCTATCAGTCTATAATTTAAACTTTATTGTAGTCAACACACGTTACTAAAGTGATTAATTATGGACAATGCTAGGCACTTAAAATTACTTAGACCAATCGGGTTAGGTTATTTATGCATGGTCTGGCCTAGGCCGTACAAATTTATTATTTACTCACGGTTCGCCAAAACAACAAAAAATACCGAAAAAATTGTCCAAAAATAATTTTGTTATTAAATTTTTTTTGGTCATTTTTATACTGAAAAAACTCAACACAAATATATTTTAATGATTACTTTTGCTTTTATTAACAGAAAGGAAAATGCACAAAAAACTCAAAAACTAAATTAGGTTTATTTTACTCCTACCGTAAACACGGATGGCTTTGCACCCCTCGGGTGACTAACCTTTTTATGAAAAATCTTTTCGCGATCGATAAAATTAACATTTATAATTTGTTGGTCTAAACCTGTCAATTGAGCGATTCTATTGAGTTTTTATTACAGGAAAATCAGTGTTTTAAAGAAATAAATGGGATTTATTACACTTTAAAATTGTTTATCTCCACGCGGTCTATAATTTAAACTTTATTGTTGTCAACATTCGATAAAGAAATACCTTGTTATGGCCTAGGCCGATAAAAATTTTTATGAGGCAAGTAATTAGTTCGATTTTTTCTCGCTAGGGGTATTGTTTTGACAAATTAATCCTTTTCTAAGAAATTAACGTACTAAACTGGTTTAATTTATTTATAATAAGCACTAATTTGTTTGTTTTACTGTTATAACATTATAATGGTTAATATTTTTCATTAAATTATTGTAAAATTAAATATGAATAATAAAACAAAAAGTGAGGTTAGGACATTGCAATTTGACGTTTCACAGTTGTGTTTTCTTTTTCTACGATTTAAATTATCTTTAAATTTTAATTTGCTTTAAGTTTTCAGTAAAATTAAATGTTAAACACAGCGTAAACATTCCAAACTACCTATTTTTTTAATAAAAATGCAAACAAATTGAAATTAGATACCTATTTATTAAACAATTAATTGAATTCAATGTAATAGCAAGAGGGTAAGTAAACCATTTTCGTACAAAAACCCATTTCTACTTAAATCATGTAGCTAGGTATTGTCAAACTATTACTGCTTCTAAAAGGAATAATAATTATTGTACATTTAATGTAATCTTTAGCTAATAAATAAATGAGATTCAAAAAAGTGAGGTTAGACCGTTTTCATGTTGAATTAAATTGACCTATATAAAGTGCTTTGAAGATAAAATGTTGTATGCCATTCGGCCAAGAAGTGTCTTTTTGTGCTTCTCTCAATTGTAGGCCTCCGCTACGCGTCGGCCTTCAAACTTTGAGCTTAGCACAAAAAGCCTTACTTCTTAACCTAATGACATAAATAACTATTATATTGCATCAGTGCAGAACTCTTAGAAATACACGCGGCAAAATTTCTATATTAGGAGCATTCCTTTGGAATGATGATCCTTGGTTAACTATATACAGGTCATTTTTTTTATTTTTATTTTTTATCAGTAATCCCTTGCAATCGCTATATGTCGCTTCTAACATGTGTCTAATAAAAATAAAATAAAGTTAATTTTATACGGAAAATACACTTTGAGACAAAGTTACCCGCAACCAGGGGGTAACTTTACACACCCAATTTTTAATTTTTATTTTTAAAACTCAGCCCTACGTAATATTATAACATAGTTATTATGAAAGAGCAACTCACGCCTCAAATTTTCGTATTCAATATTTAATTTTAAGCTTAAGTTTGAAAGTGAGCCGTGTTACCTCAAATCTAAAACCGCGATAATATATTAAATTACTTTTTAAGCTTTTCATATGTACGTATACTTGCGGATAGTTTTAGATTTGAGGCAACTTTTGTACAACCTGTTACGTCTTTTATAAATTGATAAAAATATAATGTTGTATTATTTCATTACTTTTTCAAAATGCCCAATGTTGGGTCGCCAAAATTTGCTCAAAAAAGCGCCAAAGTACCGCCAACTTTGATAAATTAAAAATCGTTATAGTTTCGCCAACGTTAAATTGGCAATGTATTTAAATTAAAAAACAAGTACGTGGTAAAAAAAACTTTATTACTTTTCTTATTTAAAATCTATAAATAAACATAATCCGTTGGGATATTATTACGTGCCCATATAAACAATATTCCATCTAATAAAAAACTGACCTGTTTTTTTCGAATTAAAACATCAATTTGTATCAAATTTTATTTTTTTTTATCAATTATTACCCCCTTAAAAACTTTGACTGCCGAAGGGGCCAGGTGAATAGGTGAAACTTGTTAGTATTTATTATTTATTTATTTGAAACCGATTTAGGACTATCGTGAAAAAAAAATCGAATATACCACACAAAAATATAAATAAATATATTTAAAGTCTATTTATAGTTCTAATTAAAAATTGAAATGTTAAATTAAACACCTATGATTAATCATAGTTAATCATATTACCAAATGATTAATGTTATGAATTTAATATTGGTGGATATAATAAATTCATTAAAAACCACAAAATAACCACTGTATCTGTTAAATTTTTACAATTGTTGGAAAAGTAAACTAACTGAACTATAAAAATGCACTTTTGGTTTATGTTTACCCTCATTGTAAAATGGCGAAATGAATTAAATTATTGACTTGGGTATAAAAACAATTACTTTATTAAAACAAAATATAGTTTAGCTTGTTTTGTTCTCGAACTACTCATGTTAACTATGAAGTTTGTTTTAATTTTAAGTTCTCTTTTTATAACTAATAATGCTTTAAACCCTAATTGGGACAACTATAAGGTAAGTCAAAAAATGCTTATAAAGTTGTGATAACACTAATAATTTAAGAAACAACACGGAAAAAACTACAGAAACATAAAGGAAGACAATGCTCGTTTAAGAATTTACCAAGAAAATTTGGAAGAATTAGGGAAACACAATAAACGTTTTAAAAATGGATTAGAATCATACGAAAAAGGAGTCAACCAGTTTTCGGATTGGAGCAAAGATGAATTCATATTATTTTTGAAACTAAATGGCGGTCAACTCATGGGGGGATATTTACCAAATTCAAGTCTTTATGAAACATCATTAGGTCAAGTGGATGATATGGTGGATTGGAGAAAAAAAGGAGCAGTAACTCCAGTGAAACAACAAGGACAGTGCGGATCATGCTGGGCGTTTAGTTCTGTAAGTAGTTTCTACTAAGACATATTAAACTATTTTACAATCTTCAATATAAAGGTTTCCCAAAAATAAATACCTTTTTAATCCACAAAAATACTCTTCAATACCACTTATATTTTTATTTTGTCTTCCTGATGAAGAAAGTCAGACTGTGAAAGTAAGTCTAATGAATGATGAGTGATGAAGTCTAATGAATGATGAGAAGAGGATATGATACTTTTATAACATAATCGGTTTTTGACATCCATCAAGCATGATGTGTAGTAGGGCCGGGAGCGCATTTTATCCATGAGATGTGAGATAAAGAAATGAAGCTCCATTTGAAATTAGAGTTCCCTATAATTATATTCAGCTCTTAGGTATCCTAAAAAAAGTTATCCTAGCATGTTTGGTTTCTTTCAAAGCACTTAGTATACTTAGTATGCTAGACTATAGTCTCTCTAAAAATGAATTAGTCAAAAATAATAGTAATAGTAATAGTTATTACACAGGGGTCCTGAATGAGTCATAGGTCACATAAAAATGACGCCAAAAACTGAATGCGCTATCGGAATAAGGACCCTCTCTAGAGTTTAAAAACATGTTTTTTAAAATTGTAGTTGATCCTTTTTTTAAATTTTGGTTAAGTTAATTCAAATACCAACTGTAATTTAGTGACTTATTTAAGATTTTTTGCGAATTTCTTTACTGTATTACTAATAAACTAGACCTTAACTTAGACAAATGTAAAATAATGACTTATACTCGTAAAAATACTTTGATTAATTTCAATTATGCCATAAATAACACTCACTTGAGTCGTATAAGAGAGTGTAAAGATTGGGGAGTACGTACTTTTTGACTCGAAATTAACTTTTCTAACGCATATTGAAACTATTCAACTAGATTCACTTAAGCTGTTAGGTTTTATTATTCGAAACTGTAAAGAATTTTCATCTATCCAACTAATATGTAATCTTTATTTTGCATTTTTCAGAAGTAAACTCGAATATTGTAGCATTGTTTGGAATCCATATCAAGATAAATATATACTTATGTTGGAAAAGGTACAAAGAAAATTTTTAAAATTTATTTTTTATAAAAAACATAACGTTTACCCTGAAAGAAATTATAATTATGATATGTTATTAGATGAATTTAACTTCTGCTCTATAAAAAAACGTAGAAAAATAATTGATTTTTAATTTTTGTACAAAATAGTCAATTCACATTTAGACTGCCCTCGCCTGTTACAACAAATAAATTTTAATTTGCCTCGAACAAAAACACATTTTATACACAAACACCCAACTCATTTCATAACTTTTACTCGCCAATTAATAGACTGTGCACAATAGTTTTAATAATTCAGTTTTCGAATCAGTCGATATATTTTATTTAACATATAAACAGTTCTCAAGACAAATCTCGAGTTTACTTTTAAATTAAAGTTTTATCATTGTATTTTAGTAACCTCATACCTATTATAACTTATAATTTATATGTATGCTATGCCTTGTCTTGCTATTAATTTTGAATTATATATTACTTACTCTCCTGTAATTGGGCAGTGCCTGCTGGAGTTTTATAAATAAATAAATAATTAAAACTGAGCCCTTTGGGAAATTAAAATAAAGAATTAAAGGCGATAAAATTATTTATTAAAACCGCAACTATTGGCGTAGATATAATTTTTTTAAATTACAAAATGTTTAAAAACTTGATGTTTTTGCATATTAATTGCCGAAACCATATTTCACAAAAAAAAAGGAAATGACAACCGTAAATGGGTTATCTATTAAAAAACTATGTATTTAAAAAAAGCAGGACCCTTAAATATCATTACCTTTGTCAGGCGTATTTTGGAAACTTCTGGGAAAAGAACAAGCGTTGAGATGGCCTAAAACGCTGAATTTGGTCACTAAGAACTACCAAGGTAACATATTTGAGGGTTATATTTCTTTAAAGAAAAATGATGCTGCAATATTGAAAATAACCTATGGCAGGTTATTCACAAAAAAATTAAACACACCCAGTTAAACATAAAAAATTCACGACTACGTCTATGGATAGTTTAGGCCACAATCCACACAACAAGGTCTGTTCGATCTCGTAGTAATGATACTAAAAAACACTGCAACACTGCACATCATATGATGGCGGCCATTTTTGTTGTTTACAATTCTTGTGCTTTGGGTTTGTACAGATTAATATTCGTTTTAAACGTTGTGTTTCTTACAGAGAGACTTGCAAGCCTTAAAAGAGACCTCATTCAATCATTTTACTCCTCTTTTGTAAAAAATAAACCTTATTCTATCAAATGTCAATTTGAAGGTTAATTTGTGGGTTATAAAATAACCTTAAATTAACCTTCAAATTGACATGACAGCCCTGAAAGGTTTATTTTTTCGCTGTGTCTAGTCTCACGCTAGCGTGAACGCAATTTTATTCTTATTCTCACGCGGTGACGTCACTAATGGTAACATAACCTAAGATTCTTTCAAGAATCTAATTTGTTCTGTGAATCTAATTTTCGCGGTTTTGAGGTTTTTTAAACGTTGGCAGGCGGTTTGGCCGATTTGTGAAATCTGCCCTGTTACAAGTGTATGTAAAATGTATTGACATTGGCAAAAACAACAATAATGATGAGTTAAAACTAACTATTGGAAAATCGTTCATTTTGCCCATTTTAGTTGGGTTTTTTGCTCAATGGGGCGGGGGGGCCCAATGGGGCGGGGTCGGTTGGGTTGTGTTGTTGAGTTTGGGTTGGTTTGGCTGCAGTAAAAGAGTCTCGATTTTATTATTAGTAAATTTTTACATAATCAAATCAAATGACATAATCAAATCAAATGACACGACACCTAAAAAGTAAAATTAAACAAAATAATGCTGGCAGAATTATGTCCACTACACATGGGCTTTTTCTATTTTCGCCCCCCCCCCCTCAGTAGATGTCTAAAACCGCCCCTGGGCAAAGTTGGCAGCCTTAGGTTTAACCAAAAACCAAAAGTAAACGAAGTAAACGTGAAAATAAAATTAAAATTATTTTGACGTGAGAATAAAAATTAAATTGCGTTCACGTTAGCGTGAGAATAAGAATAAAATTGCGTTCACGCTAGCGTGAGACTAGACACAGCAGTATTTTTTACAAAAAGGAGTAAAATGATTGTTATTACCACTTTGAGGTCTCTTTTAAGGTTGCAAGTGTCTCTGTAAAAAACACAACGTTTAAAACGAATATTAATCTGTACAAACCCAAAGCACAAGAATTGTAAACAAAAATGGCCGCCATCGTATGATGTGCAATGTTGCAGTGATTTTTAGTATTTTTACTACGAGATCGAACAGACACTGTTGTGTGGATTGTGGTTTAGGCATAATTATGGAGGCATGATTTAAGAGATAATTAAGTCACCTTTATTTTCTTATTTAAACATTTTTTACAAAGGCCTTCGTTTTAAAGATAATAGCAAAAACCTAAAATGAATCATCATATGAAGTTTGATATTTGGATATTCAGATGACATCCTTATTCCAATACTTCAGTCAATTTTTGGCGTCATTTTTATGTGACCTATGACTCGTTCTGAACGAGTCGTTCAGGACTAGGGTTGCCACCTTTTCTTGAAAGCCGAAAAGGACAAAGTTACATTATTAAAAACATTTGGGCGTTTACCACCCTAAAAATAAACAATTTAATATTAAGCATTGTGCATGAATAAAATAAAACCTTTATACTTTACAATGTTTATTGAATAACAAATATGTAGGTATGTACAAAACAAATATTAAGGCAAGAAGCAATATTAATATTGGTGTATTGATAAAGTAATCAATTAGAAAACTTAAATTTATATTTTTTATTAGACTTGGCTGCCTCCAGCAGCTGTTTGTCACCTTTCGCCAGTTCATAAAATTCCGCGCAAGTTCCTTGAAGTTAAAGTAAATTAGGAATTCTGAGCGAATTAGTTCTGTAGAGCAGTGGTTTCTTTCGTCTGTCCATTTGGAGCCCATCACAGAAAAAATGCGTTCTGAAAATGCAGAGCTTGCAGGTATACGTACTTAACAAATATGAAATTAAAGAAAACATATTTGTATGATATTTTTTATTTTGGAAAATATTTTGCCATTTTTTTGGGGTACTTAATTTGACAAATTTATCTTTAACTGCATATTCTTGAAATTTTTCTGAAACTTCCATTACCTCATTGAAAAGCTGGTTCATATCAATTTGAAGGTTAGGGTTGTTTATTTTGGAAACACTGTTTACAGGACACGGCTGCCATTCTACCAATAATAAAAATTGCATTTCCCTTAAATAACTTTTAGCCATAGACAAGGCACGATCTTGTCAATGATTTTAGCGGTAAAAAAATTTAAAAAAACTTTTAATCAACAATACACATACCTTGCAAAAATATCTATAGATATGCAAAACCTTGTAAAAGGACATTTAGCATTGAAAAAAGACACAAGAACATTTTATTCAAAAAAAGGACTGTCCTTTCCAAAAAAGGACAGGTGGCAACCCTATTCAGGACCACTGTGATTAGTGGCTGCTTTTTCACTTGTACCATGGTTAACCATGGAATACGATTGTATCCCAAAATTTAACAGCCAATTTTTTTGTAAAATTGTCCCCTGAATCCGAAAATACCGTCAAAAATTATGAAAGTGGAGCAGTTTTTGAGATATAGTCAATTCCACATTAAATGGAAAATTGACTATATCTCAAAAACTGTTCTACTTTTTTAACTTTTGACGACATTTTCAGATTCAGGGGACAATTTTACATAAATAAATTTTGGGATACCATGGTATTCCATGGTTAGCCATGGTACAGGTGAAAAAGCAGTCACTAATTACTAATAAATTATGTAGTCTTTATTATTGAAAGGAAATCCAAAAGTAAAGATTTCCACCTTAGAATAGTCTCAGACTGGAGTACCACTGCCGAAAGGAAAATCAGTCTTCGCCTGGTCGAACATTACCTGAAACAGTTTACTGAGTCATCAAAAGCATCC